ACACACACACACACACACACACACACACACACACACACACACACACATATCCAAAATGCCATAAGTCCAAAAAGCCACAATGACTATTCAAGCAAATTTTCTATTTTTATTAAACCAGATAAATTCAACACTATGTTAATATTATGTCTGTACTGTGTTACTGTGTAGACAAGGGAACTGAATCTGTCACACCTGCTGTCACTTCCTGAAACATCATCGCTCCACCTACAATCCGCCTCCCGTTCGATTCCTATAAATCTCCTCGTGACCATAAGAACATCAAAAGTTCGTGACCGGAAAAACTTGATTCCTCTAAGCCAGAGTACACAAAGGTGTGCCATCTCTGTAAAGCACAAAGAAGATAAGACAGTCTAAGTTTACCAAACAGAAAAATGGAGCCCCAAGAAGACTGGAATACATCAGAGAAATCCAAGCTGTTGCAGCCTGGGCCGCCACCATACCAGGACCATCTTAGACAGCCTCCTCCAGGGAACTTCCAGAGCACTTCTGGCTATCAAGCCCAGCAATATGGAGCTTCAGGGCCATACGGCCAAGGACCGTATCCAGGACATGCTGCGGTCATTGTGCAACCTGCAGTTTATGTGACCACCACTCCACTGGTGTATCCACTGCCAGATTACCTGGGTTACTCCATCTTTACCATGTTGTGCTGCTGCTTACCTCTGGGCATTGCTGCACTGGTTTTCTCTATCAATGTAAGCATTAGTTCATTTCTTAACCTATTTTAAATGGTTTATTTGTGTCATACAAATAAGATACACTAACTGAACAACACATTGTTGACGTGAAGAAATGGAGAGATCATAGATGACAATAAAAAAAAAAACATGTTTATAATTTATTGTTTAAATATGTAAAATGTTTGAAACAAAAGAGAGCAAAGCATAAGAGTTAAGTTCTGATCACATGACTGTGAGCTTTCGAAACAAAAGTTCACTTGTGTAACTTCCTCATAACTAACTTATGAAGTTAGTTATGACGCTTGGATGAAGATGGTTTGAGTTTCTAAATTTACCTCATTTACTAAGCAGATGCTTGCCTCCATTTTAACAAGCATCTTTTGTTCCCATAAGGGGTGTGACTTTTTGTTATTGACAAAGAGTTGTGGCAGTACAGAACATCACAATTTAACCATTGCTTTGGCACATCTGTGAACTTTCTCTATGTGAAGCTACTGAAGCATATTTTTGTTGTTCTGCAATATACTATAGTTCACTGTATATGAATTAAAGACACTAAATGAGTTCAGAAAAAGGAAATGCAATACATGATAGTTCAGATAAAGGAAATGAAAGTCTTGACACTTGAAACTTGCCCTGTGTTTCCATTATTGCATAAGAGGTCACAATGGGATCACAAAAGCTGGTGTATCATTTTGAAATAGCACCTTTAGCATCTGTTAAAATATTTATTGATTTATGAAGAATCATGTGAAACACGGTAGGACGCAGGTCACATCATAGCTTTACTACTACAATGTAAAAACTACAAAGCACACTTGCTGAAAAACAGAAGAGGCATAACTGACATTGTTTCACATTTATTTTCACAGACTCGGAATGCCAACATGTCTGGACAACAACAGTTAGCAGAGAGAAACTCCAAATTGGCGTTCACTCTTAACAATACTGCTCTTGGTATTGGCATTGTTATCTTGGTGTTGTATGTCACCCTCATCACTGTCAACTCTAAACACCATTCAAATCCATAATTGTTCAGGACATCAGAGTTGGACACCAGGAATGACAAGATAGAGAGCTTTCTAAAAACTAAAATTGTATAATGACACAAGTATAAATTTAAATGAATTTACATTTTCATCTGAAAGATCAGTCTGGCTCATCTCTAGTGTAAAATTATTCATGTTACTAAAACATGCTTTATAGTTGATTATCTTATGTTTCAAAACCATACAAACTGTGACTCTCATTGTATAAAAATTGATGTTTGTTCTTCCTGTCTTTTGATTATGTATTTAATTAAAACTGTCAATGACCAATAATGCATACCAGTTTTCTTTGTTTAAAACCATTTATGTGGTTTTACCTGAGCACTGTCCATTCGTATTCCCGAATAAAATCACTCTTATAAGCCGGTTAAGGCAGTTTTTTGGAGAATGTTTCTTATGTAAATGCCTGTGCATGACAATTAAAAATATAAACAGATTCAACAAATTCGGAGCTCCATGTGGTCTGTAGTTTTCCTATGGGCTTTGCTGCTATTGTTTACTCTCTGTGAGTATTATTAACGTTTTTCTCACATAGACAACAAAATAAACTTTTATATGACATCCAAAAGTCTGGGAAAGCAGTCTTGGAAAAAGGAACAATAATGATGCAAATTATGATTTTATAGTTAATTTACACCCCAGAACACACTGTAGTTTAGATGTAATAAACAGGACTGACTTTTTTATTATTATTAAAAGCTGCATCAGGATGACCTGTAGTAAAAGCAATGCAAATAGAGTACCCTTCACTAATGTTGGCACCCTTCGTAAATATGAGCAAAGGTGGCAGTGAAAATAAATCTGCATTGTTGATCCTTTTGATCTTTCATTTTAAAAAAATCACAAAATTCTAACCTATCATTGAAGTAAAACAATGGAAAATCTCAATTTGAAATAAATGTTTTTCTCTCACGTTGGCCACAATTGTTTGCACCAAATTATTGCAACGTATTTTGGCCAAGATAACACCTTGGAGTTTTCTCCTATAATGCCTGAATGAGTAATAATAATGAGTTTGGAGAACACCTGGCAAGAGATCATAGACCATTCTTTCAAACAGAATCACTCCAAATCCCTCAGATTCACAGCTCCATGTTGGTACTTCTACTCTTCAGTTCATCCCACTCATTTTCTATAGGGTTCAGGTCAGGGAACTACCATGGCTGAAGCTTCATTTTGAGCTCAGTGACACATTTTTGTGTTGATTTTAATGTTTGTTTTGGATCATTGTCCTGATGGATGATTCAACCATGGCCCATTATACAATTTTTAACAGAGACAGTTTAGATTTTTTCGTGAACAAGATATCAAAAAATAAATAAATAAAATAATAAAATGGGCCCACAACATTAAAGATCCAGCAGTATATTTAACTGTGGACATGGGGTATTTTTTTATCCCTGTTTGCACCTGTTTGTGGTGGGTTTGCTGCCAAAAAGCTATTTTTTTAGTTTCATCTGACCATAGAAGCCAGTTGCATTTGAAGTTCCAGTTTTGGCTGATAATTTAATTTGCTAGAGTTTGTTTTTGGACGAGCAAGGAGGATTTTTCTTGAAACCCTCCTGAACAACATGTGGTAATGTAGGGGCTGTTTGATATTTTTTTAGGTTTCTGACCCCAAGACTCAACTCTCGTCTTTGCTCATATTTTACAAAGAGTGCCAATATTAGTGGAGGGCACTGTATACCATGAGTTGGTCATCCTGAGCAGTAGATCAGATTTTTATCTCAAACAGACAGTAGTTCCTCTACCTGTGCTTCTTAGTGGTGGAAATTTTGATTCTTTCACATTAAGTTAAGTGGTCTAAATGTATTCATCTGTATTTATATATTCTGTGGAAGGCTTAGGACCAAGAAATGTTCGTCCAATCAAAACGATCGGTCCGAGCGTTTTAATAAGATTTCCTACCTGCCTGTCAACTTATGTATCTGCATACCTCTGCGCACCCGGTTCGCGCAGACAGGACACGTCAT